GAAATTTTGAAATCTGAGACCTCTCAGAGCCCCAGAAATGCAATGAAACCTGCTAGTTTCTCTTAATTAAAAAGTTTCTTGAACGATTCTTAAGCAAGCCATTATGTAAGGGTAAAATTTATTCGCTTAGTACATTTTCCTTGATTTTTTTCTTCGAACTTTATCGCCTTATTTAAGCGTAATTTAAATTGCATTTTCCATACTTATCGTCTCTACCTTTTTTAGAAATGTTTTTTTTCTGGAAGGTGTTCAATAATAAAGGAATACCGAATGGTTTTCCGTGCAAGATTGCGTGATCCATACACGAGGGATGTCGCGAGACGTTCGGAAAGCGTAAAAATACTCGAGCCGCAGGCGAGTGTATTTTTACACTTTCCAAATGTCGAGCAACATCCCAAGTGCATGGATCACGCAATCCTGCTTGGAAAACCATTTGGTAATTGTTTTATAAAATAACTGCAGCGAAACTATGACATTTTGAAAATCCCGCGAAGGCATTTTAATTCCTCGTGCAGGATAGCCTGATCCTGCACGACTATTGACCAACCAAATTGCGAGTTTCACTGTATAGTTATTATATAACTTGCATTTTTTCGTGAGAATTTTGTTGGGAGATAATTTAGGTTCCAATGGCAAAGAATAATCAAACACAAGCAAACAGTAAGTTAGAACGACGCTTGGCAGTTTTAACACCAACATTTTGTTTGGAACCGAAGCGAAACTCGCGTATTCACTGTGTCTGAAGCAGATATGGAGTTTCAACCGTTATTTGAAACCGAGTGTGACACCTTGGATAATGTTAGGCTCCGAATTTTAAATAAAGTGGTCAAATGCGACTAACAACTCTTGACATTATTGCACAGCGTCATGAAGGTTGAGACCTGTTGTTTGTAAAAGCTATATGTTTCGCTGGTTGGAAATGGCCTCTATAATTCTGAAATACGCAAATCAGACATTTGATATTTTTCTGGACTACGCAAAGAAAAGTGCTATTTGCGCTATATTAAAATCAGATATGTATGAAAAATTATTGGGGGGGGGGGGCTAAAGCCCCCCCAGCCCCCCCTGCTCCGCGGTCCCTGTACAGGGGACATTTCAAGCTTTAAATTAACAAAATAAAGGTTTGATAAGTGTTCCAACTACGTTTTAACTTAAATAAAATACATGATAGTGTAGGGATAAAGCATTAAGAACAGCTAACCAAGATCGCATGACTGCCAACTCTCATGCACTCTCATTCTCGATCGCTTAAGCGGAAACGTTTTCGGTTCGAGCAAATTGGCCTTCTTCCATCAACAGGTCCAACAGGGGTCGGCCGGTCGGGCACATTTCGAAGGGCCAAATCAGCCGTAAATGTTACATTTTCAAAATTCAGTAAAGAAATACTGTTATTAAAAACAGGCCGGACGAAAGTGCAACGAGGACGGCTAAAAATATCATATTAATACAAGAAAATGAGCAGAAATGAACAATTAAAATCCTACAGAAATTCTGGACGTCGCCGCTGCTCTTTTTACAACGGCAAAATACAGATTATCACGTCTTGTATTATACAACGCTTACTTTCAAGCTGGGACAACTGCTACTTTCAATTGGGTCCTGCAACTTTTCGCGATCATAAACCCTGTGTTAACCTTTATCCTTAAACTGCATTATTTTTCATACGATGGATAATTGACGACAAGTTTTCTTTTGCAATCATTTGTGATTTGGTTCAACGAGTTTGTTTGCCGTTGCCGTTGCCGTCCTACATGCTTAAGGTCGCTATTACCCAATCAGGAAGAGGACTTTACTTTCAGTTTCTACAGTGATGAAATAAATGCATATGCCACAACAATTTCTTAAAGGGGAAGTCAAGTCCGTTCTGCGCATCGGTTCTGCGCATAACAATAGAGGGCCCTCTGAGGTAAACATTGCCCAAATTTTGAATGTTTCGAATTTTTCTGAACACAAACTCTATTTCATATTCATGTAGAAGCATAACGAACCAAAATGGTGTTAGATATTCAGACAGTACATCATATTTTAAAAAATACAGCAGTTCAAAATGTAAACAAACCGTTTGTTTACATTACGGACTTGACTTCCCCTTTAATCTTAAAAAATATCATTTTTTATGAAACGTATAGAAAAAATGATTACAGAGTAAAGGTAATTACATCCACTACTGCAAATATGTCATTCATTAAATATTCCTCTCATATTTACATTAAATTAAATTAAATTAAATGTATGGTTTAATAAAACACTTTGCAGTTTTTTTTAATTACACGTTTAATTAACTACAGTTATACTATTACAAATATGAAATTATCTAATAAACAACATAAAATAGTAAATGAAACCTATACAATGACTAGGAAACATCAATAGTATTTACATGTAATAAACTGAGAAAAACGCTCTGTACGTGCTCTTACTCTATCTAAGTTAGTGTCCGTTGCAATATGTTCCTTAATTAATTCCGTGAATGCATGTTTACGTTTTGAACTATTGACTGGTTGTGGTATTATGTATCTTGGTGGTCATTTTCTAAAGTATGATAGAATGATTGTTCCCGCGAGTGTTTCGCGTGTGCATCGAGTTCTTCCCGTGGATATGATACATCGGACGTGTCTTTCTCCAAAGTGTGATAGAATGGTTTCTCGCTGGATTGTCCCGCGAGAGAGTCGCGTCTCACACATGACTTAGCTGACCCGGATGTTGTATCAATTGTCCCGGATGCGTCTTCCTCCAACGTGTGATACAACGGTTTCTCGCTAGATTGACCCGCATGGGCGTGTTGTTTCTCGCGCGGCCTTGAAGGTTCAGATATATCTTCCTCGAAGATCACATCACCATTTCGAATAAGTGGCAATAAAGAGGTCTCCTCGCGTGTTGCATAATCGTATTGAAAGTTGTTATTAAGATGGTTTTGGAGGGTATTTTGTGGCGAAGGGTTATTCGTGGGGTATTCGTAGTGGTTTCCCACATGAATACTAACGCCATGGCTTTCGTATGGATTCGGAGTTAGTTGTTGCATTTGAGCCGGATCTTGATAGTCCATCAATGGATTGCTAATATTCATGCCTGGGGTTTCGTATGGACGTGGAGTCAGATGTTGCATCTGAGCTGGATCTTCATAACCCACCAACGGATTACTAATATTCATGCCTGGGGTTTCGTATGGACGTGGAGTCAGATGTTGCATTTGAGCTGGATCTTCATAACCTACCAATGGATTACTAATATTCATGCCAGGGGGAACGTATGGACGTGGAGTACGTTTTTGCATTTCTGTCAACTGAGCTGGGTCTTCATATCCTGTCATTGAATTGGATGATGTGGTTTCTGAAAAATAAATAAAGATGTATACGTGACGAATTGTCAGGTGATCAAGATGTACACTTTCATTACTTTAATAAGGTTGTATGTACTCCATTTTCACATTCGACACATTTTCTTCTGCGGACACTGAAAACGCTTTGATGAAATATTTGGTAATAATTGATACGACCACGGATTTCAATTAATTTATAAATAATCAATTAAATGTTCAGTTCATACATTTAATCATTCACTCGGATTTGGCAATTAATTCAAACAAAAAATTGTGGCAATTCAAAAAATATAGAATTTTCAGGATGCAGTATACTAATACTATATTCCAGTGATCCAGTCCATTATCAGCTACGGCAAACGTAGAACGAATTGATTTGTACATGCACATATACCTTCACAAAAGTGATCGTCTTTATCTGACTTTAATCTGAAATGAGAAAACCTCTTTCATTAGATATAAACAAACAGTAAATTGACATTAAGTTATGTAATTGACTTTAATAATAGGGCCTGTTCATCTGAGGCAGTTTACCAGCAAAATCTATGTTCATATGACTATTTTTATCCTACCTAAATCTCGCCTCGGTATGGGACGACATCAAGTTTTGTAAACATGGCGTCTTCGAAATATTTTTTGTTGTAATTATTAAACAAGTTGCACCTTGTACTATACGTACGACTTTATAATAGTGTCTGTTTTAGGTCTGTTAATGTTTATTTTTGTTTGTATTTTCTAACCACGCGCCATTCAATACTATCATAGGTCAAAATCGGCAAGAATATCCTTCCCTGGGATAAAGGCTTCATATGGAAAATTTTTATATCCCATTTGACTGACATGCTCTCAGAACAGGCCCTTAAATTAATTGTTGGGAACAACTTTTGTTGTTGTTTGTAGCTTTCTTCATGGAAAGTGTTTTTTTTTAATATTACTGTGATCGATTATAAAAGAATAGATGCTGGAAGTAATAGAGCCACGTATAACTATTGGGACTTGAATCACTTTTCCTTCTATTTAATCGACTGAGTGTTCACCTTTCTATTTAAACTTTTATTGATGAAATGCATTAATCAAACCAATTCAAATATACACACCTCTTTTGTCGCCGGCGATAATAGATCACGACAACAAACGCTGCAATGAGTAGACAAAATAACACAACAACGGGAACAGTGAATAACATCGATGACATTTGTAAGCTTTTTTCAGTTGTTGACGAAGTTGATTTCTCGAATGACGTAGATGATGACGTGGTAAACGGTGACGCTGTAGTAACTGTGTTCGGTGTTTCCTAAAGACGTTGCGTGAAAGATCAATTGAAGCACATGCATTTACACATTGTGATTTGCCGGGATGATTTTAATGTTATTGGAAAATGCCGACGTCATCTGACGACATCACCAAATGACAATATTTGTCATTGACTTTCGGCAAAACCTTGACATCAGCTAGACGTGCAAGTCACAATTAATGTGCAAATATATCTTTAAACCAAATAAAATGATAATTCATACTGTAAAAATGAAACGACTTGGTAAACAGGTATAAGCAAACTTTCAGCAGTTCGAATGTTATAATAAATGATCTCCACTAGACGTTATATCGGAAGGAGAATCGCTGCCTTTCCAATGCGAACATGCACTAATTAAAAACACAAACAGTCGTTGTTGCCAAGGATTTGAAATTACAACATTGTAACTGTTGCAGTTTTTAGTTTTCATAGAAATGGTTCTGAATGGTGAAGTGCATAATTATAAATAAAGATGCAACACTGTATTATTTGATTATTGTCATACTATATAGATACCAAAATACTTAAGTTATTGCATGACTAAAGCTGTAAGTTATTAGGATAAAATAAGTTGGTAAAACTAACTGCGCTAAAATGAATGCACACTGAAATACTCACAGTTTCCCTTGCACTTTCGATCTTTAAAAGCACGCAGTTGTTTTCGTTGCCACATTGCGTACCAAGTTTTATGAGAGTTCCTGACCATCGTTCAAAAAATTTCTTGTTGTTGATTATCTATAAGATAAACAACGCTAGGTTTAACATTAAGAATGGAAATTCAAGCTTGTTTTAAATTAAGTTACTACACGATTTTAATGCAACAGATGATCTTTCCCATATGCTCCCGCGATCTTTTTTATTAGGCTACTGATCGGTACAATTATGACGAGACTATAGTCGCGATAATTGTTGCCTTTGCTAAATGTCCTAACATAATATCGACTGTAGATTACCAGATATTGTTCGTAACATTTTAACGTAAGTGGAGAGTTGATCAAGTTTGAATCGTTAATGTTCGCGCCATCTTGTGCGATAGCATCAATTGTTCTGTCCAAGATCTCACCAAACACAGTCATACCGATACACATTCATTAGTACCTTACAAACAGAAAATATTAAAAGAGTTGAGCATGACTTACTTTTAAAGTTATTGTTTCTCCGTCAATAGCATCCAAGTCAAACAGTCCATGATTCATCAAACGAAAAGGTTTCCATGTTTGATTAAATATAGAATAAGTTGAACTTTCCCATAGGATATTACACTTTGGAGATTGCGTGGAGAAAAGTGGTGCATTGATTGATATTTCAATGTTGCAGTTTCTTTGATGTTTGCCTTTGCATTTTGTTGGCCTTTTTACCACAGCTATCATCTTATCCCCGGACACGCGATAACAACCTAGTATGCATGAGATTAGTAATGAGAGTGCATGATACAACTACTTGAAAAATATACAAACGACTATAGACCCGGTTAGACCTCGATAACTAGACTCTGTAGATCAGTTGGTTAGAGTGCTGCATGCAACAGAATAGCAGGGTCATGATCGCAGGTTTGATTTCTGCCAGAGGGTCCAATAGTTGCATTTTTCGCAGCTGCTCCTGGTTATAGGTCTAAATAAATCTTCCATCTGCAAAATCCTTCAATATTTAAAGTTTGTCAGTTCACGGCAACCATGTATAATATTATTCATGTTTTTACTCGCTACTCTGGTTTTAATAAATGAACGCAAAGTCCATGCGGTTGAATTGCATTCATGACCCAACGTTTCGACACCCCAATGTAGTCACCGACACCCAACCATCAGTTGTGATCTCAAGTCGCAACGTGGTCGTGGCGATCGTTAGTGGAATGACTCTAGAGTTGCTGAGTTTTTCCACGCAATCATGTGTTTGGTGTCACACGAAACGCGTGATTGCGAGGAATATTTTACTGAGTAGCGAGCGAAAACATGACTGAGCAGCTTTACAGAGTAGCGAGCGACTGATCCTTCAACTTTTTAAATTCTCAGCAGCTTTAGTTAATGAGGAGGTATAGAAGAGCAGTCTGTATACGTACATGAGAGAATTGCTATATGAAGGAATTGCTAAGAATATTATTCTCAAATTGAAAATTATTTACCTTGATATGAGCTAATTCTAATGGTATTGTTAACGTAAAGAGGTTCAGGTTTAAAAGCGCCGTTATTCAACCTCACACGTCCATCCTTCCAGGTCCATTGCTGAGTAACTTCCACGGACTTGCATTGTTCTGTTGTAAATTCTTTTGAAGTATTGTTCCACTGTAAACATTTAAGTGTCTTCAAATTCATTATATGTCCGATCCCAATCCATAACCAACGAAGAGAAATTTCATTTTTACTGCATCGAACTGCTTCAATTCTGCGTCCTTTCACTCCCAAACATTCTTCATTGCCGTTTGTAATGTACTTTCCATCTGAAAAGTTATAATTAAACAATTAATCAATGAGTTAAAATAAGGTAACGCTTAATGTAGTAATTTATAATATAGTGTAGTTTTTTATATTTCACCCCGAAACACGCCGTTTGTAATGTATTCCAATTTTGAAAATTTATATTCAATCAAGGTCAATGAATTGATCAGTTAATTAACTGAGCAAGTAATAGATTAATTAATGCAATAATAAAATACGATACAAGAGTGCCTTCAAAGCCATTAACACATTAAAAGTATTCTTATCATGTTAATTCAACTAATTAATTACACCTATGTATTACTATTAATATAATTGTCAAAGGCCAAATGTCATAAATGTTTTTTCTAAAATTATTTATGTTTTGTAACTCTAGAAGTTCGTTTCATGCATATCATTGATCATGCCGTCCATAATTGTCAAAGGCCAAATGTCATAATTTTTTTTTCTAAAATTATTTATGCAAGTTTTGTAACTCTGGAAGTTCACCATGAATATCATTGATCATGCCTTTCTCCTTCGGTGGTGAATCCACAGACCGGTGATAAAGGGGATGGACGAGAGGGAGGTTTTCAAGATGGCGGCTTGTTTTTAAGATCGTTTTAAAACGTGGCAATATCAACTTCAGGTACTTTTAGCAACCCTAAACCTAGCCTATGTTATGTACTTATATAACTTTTATTAAAGATTTTATTTCAAAGAACAATATGAACAACAAGCGTCTGTATTCTCTATGCTCTGCTTTTCAGTTCGCTCACAATAAGAACATGTGTTCTTCTGAGTCCGTAAGAAACAATTTCAGCGGTATCCTACGCCCAAAACCTTACCCTAATTCCAACGCTAACACTAACATCACTGACATTGACACTAACACTAACACTAACAATAAAGCGAACTATGAGTTTAATTTTTCAATAATCTTGTAAACCCCCTGTCGTCCATCACTTTGAGTCATCACCATGGCAAATGGAGGCAAATGGCAGAATCACGCAATAATTCTATAAAGCAAGATGTGGTAGCAGAAGATCACGAGAGATAAATGGTGCTCCCAAAGTTTGACGTTCTCAAATATTGCGCGATTTTGCCGTTTTCAATCAAGTTGCATGCGGAGGAGGGTCAAAAAGATGATAAATCATTAATTATTAATCATGATAAATTTCGAAGATGTACGTGTTCGTCTTTGATTTAACAAAGTCTTTCTTACAGAACCACAACATTTCATCTTGTTTATAAACATCATGGTATTGTCTAAATGTCCAATTTATTATTCAGACATATTTTCTTGTGGAAGGTAAAACTTCAGCAACTGCTCTGAACCTGGCATTGTTCATGTTAGGAAGATACTCCCATGTAGAACTTCCCATTGTAAAACACTCGACTGAACCGAGAAATTTACCTTTCTCGTTCATACCTCCCATGACTACAATGGTATTTCCAGTAATACATGCACAACAGGAAGATCTGTTCTCCAACATGGATGGTAAGGCTGTGATCTTGCCTGTCTTGGAGTTGTACATGAAAACATCATTCAAAACGTGGCTGTCCTTATTGTAACCTCCAAGTACAACCACTTGATCTCTCCAGCGAACTGTCGCCATTCTCATCAGGGCAAACGGTAAAATTGGCATCTCTTTGCATTCTTTCGTTTTTGCATCAAACTCCAATACACTGTCTGAAGTTCTACCGGAGTAAACTCCTCCTAAAATCAACACTTTGTCTTCAAATACCTCAGCGCCATGCCGATCTCGTGGTTCAGGCATTTGACACAACTGTTTCATAGTGCAAGGTGAGGTAAGTTGCAATTCACTAATCACATTCGAAAAAATGTTTTTGCCATAAATAAATCCACCAATGTGAATGACACGCTCCTGGTAAACAACAGTTTGATGATCATCACACACGCAAGGCATTTTTCCATTGCACTTCGTCCATTTCAAAGGCAATTCGTTCAGATCCAGGGTCTCTATTGTCCTACTATTTTCTCCCCCAACAACAAATAAATTATCTTTACAAATATGTGATGATGCTCCTTTATGGTCTTCATTCATTGGCGACACCTCAACCCAACCGTTTTTCTCCCAGGAATATATTTCTGTACTTCTGCAGAGCTCTCCAGATCCACCTGCAATCAAAATATCTTCTCTTGGTGTGTTCAACATTCCCTCAGTCGGAGATGGCAGTTTGTTCAGCAGTTCAAGCATATTTAACTTTTCCAACATTTGAGTCATCATGACTTTGACTTCGTCCACGTCTTTGTTTACTTTGAAAAGATTATCCTTCATATCTTTGACTTCTTTCTTAACTTCCCCGATTTCCTTCTTCGTTTGTCTACTTGCTGCTTCCACTTTTTCATTTACTTCTTTCACTGCTGCTTCCACTTTCCTATCCAGTTCCACCAAACTCCCTTCCACTCTTCCCACAGCTTCCTGTATCTGCCCACAGTCATGACATTTCACTTTCCTATACTCACAAACTTCAGTCTCATGATGGACCTTATCTTGCTTGTTAATCTCCATACCACACTCTGCATTTGAACACAACACAGGCGCATAGCCACAATTCCCCACATGAGTTTTGAGCTGTTCAAGACAGGTAAACTCAGGACATCCCCGACTTGCATGATCACAATTTATCTTTAGTTTAGACAAATAATTATTCAATACACGAGGTGCTCGACGAAGCGTATCGACGCTCAAATGTTCGTTACATTCAGGACAAGTTTGAGAATTCATCTTTAGATGTTCACTGATGCAGGCAAGACAAAAGATGTGTTCGTTATTTCTACACATCCTTGGTTCTTTAAGAACATTGTAACATATCGAACAATGAAAGTTTTCGTGACATCTTTTTCAAATCGACAATCTTCGTAGCCGTATTTCTCTTTTGTCGGGCAACAAGCCATTCTTTACAGCCAGTCACAGAATTTACAGAAACATCGCGACACTTTCTAGTTAAAGATTCGATATCAATGATCTTTCTTTACCAGATTTATCTCACATTGTGGAGCAAACAAATCGAGAGCAAGAAACAGACGAGGTTTTGAAACACTAATTCCGCCTTCGCTTGGATTGATTTCGCAATAACAAAACTTGATTATTCAAAATACTTGGATATATGAATATAATAATGAAGGTCATGACATTATCAGCTAAGCAAATTATTCGATTCGCTAATCATGTCACTCTTTTACTATTGCATTGAAGTGTGGGGCTCTGCACTCCAAAAGAAATATTTGGATCGTATAGACAAGTTTTTTCGGCGGGCTTATCGTTATGGATATACGACAAAGAGTATTAAGATATCTGAAGTGATCGAGGAGAGAGACAGAAAATTATTTAGCAAAATCGTATCGAATCCAGAACATGCCCTACATGAATTGCTTCCTGTGTGTAAACAAAGGATTTTAAGACAAAGGGAACATAACTTTATTTTACCTCAAATTAAAACGGAACGATTTAAACGATCCTTCATGAATAGATGTCTTTTTAACTATTTTTAACTTTCATATAATTAATTAGGATAGATCAATTTTTTAACTGTAATAATTAGGAATTTGACATTTGTAAAGTTGCACGTCTGTTGTGACTCTAGACAATAAAGACTTTAATATAATAATAATAATAATTTCCGGCTGTACTGAACAAATAGCGAGCTCAATCAACATGGACGACAGATTGCCGAGGGGGAACTGGATTGAAAACTGTTTTGTGTCAGTTTATGGTAAATCAAGATTGAATTATCTGACAAACTGCAATCAGTGCGAGATTCTATGCAAGTGATTAGAGAAAAACGTTTTTGACAATACATATGGCAATCGGAAATCAATCGAATTGTTATGGATGGTCGTAGATGCCGAGTGATAGTAACGGTTGTTCGTGTGTGAGATCGCATACGTTGCTTACCTAAGCTCTGCTAAGACCACGTTCACTTGAGAGCCTCGAGCGCTCGAATTCGGAATCCTACGATAGATCGTTTGGTTCCACTTTACAGAGAAATTCTTGCGGTTTTGTCCGGTTTCATTACTTTCATTTGTCCCGTGTGAATTCGTCTTGTTCCGTGTGAATATTGGGATATGAAACTTCGAGGGAAACTTGTCATTTGCATATTAATGTTTACCTTGGACTGAGTATCCGAATATTCCGCCTTGGTGGGACGAAATTATGTAAGCATGGCGTCTTCGAAAGATTTTTTTGTTGCACTTAGCAAAAGAGGCCGCCGAAGCATTTCGAAAGTGGAGGGGCATTGACCAAAAGGGGCACTTTTGTAGCCTATATGACCAAAATCAAACGATTTTATGACGTTCACGAGCCGAACGAAAATTTTTGAAAATATGGAGTCTCTATAACGTCGGAAATGGCCTTTACAGAGTCTTTACTACTGCGAAAAGGGCATTTTCTTTCCAGAAAAAGAGGGCGTTTATTCAAGAAATACTTTTTTCGTTCTTTAAATGGAGCATTTAAGCCCAGAAAAAATGACACTTTTATCACTTTTAAAAAAAGTTGGGGGGGGGGGGCATTGCCCCCCGGTTCCGCGACCGCTGCTTAACAAACAGCACCTTGTCATACGACTATATAATATGTCTGTTTAGGTGCAGTAATCTTTGTTTTCTGTTCGTATTTTCCAACAATGCCACCTAATACTATACTGTATGTCAAATTGTACATAGGGAAAAAATTAAAAAAAAACAAATCGGCAAAAAAATGTTCATCCCAGTCAGGCGGAATAAAGTCTTCATATGGAAAATTTTATCCTAGCGAAAGGTGAGATCAGCACCTAGCCGGGATGGCTCGTCAAGTTTTCATATGAACACAAATTGAATCTCATTCGGGTAAGTTTCCCTGTCAGCTGGACTCATACGAACAGGCCCTTAATTAATTAACAATGTATAGTATTAGTCAATCTCAAACTCAATAATTTAAGAATTAGCCAACCATATTGCTTTATTTTGCTCGCATGATAGTACTGGATACCTGATGAAGAATACTAATCTAGTCCTAGCTAGGCCTGGATCAAAATGAATTCAGTCCTTGGACTCGATCAAAACGAATTAAGTAGTGATTTATTCCTGTATGAGATGTCATTTCAAATCCTCCAATTCAGAATGGACAAGATTTCAACAGAGAGATTTCAATCGCTCGCATTTTGATCCAGTCACGTGATCAAATTGCGCTGACTTGAAATCTTGTCCAGTCCTCATAGTCGGATTTGAAATATTACGTATTGTATATGACAATGTGTCGATTACAGTGGACTATTAACCATATAGTAGTTAAACATAAATGTCATTTATTCTTTATTTACTCCACTGATTCATTCGACTACGAGTGATATATAATTTGGCTCGAGCTCTAACGTTGTTTACATCGTCACTAACTTTAGATAACTCGCTTCCTAATCCTAGTTACCAGTATGGTTCTAGTTTACAGAAGAATAAAATAGAACAAAGGTAACTAACAATTAGAATAATGTATAGTTATTCAAGCGTTATTCACTCGTGTAAATAATTAGGCATGTGGGTGATCTAATGTTGTGAATTTGGTATAAACAAGCGTTAGCGTTAGTTGTGACGTTAGTTGTGAATTGGGTATAAACAAAACTTAAATGAAATATGACTTGCCACATTTGTCTATTTGTGAAAAATAGGCAAATTCCAGCTGCCATTTTATCTCGTTCACGAGTCTGAAGTGATTCCCGGGTGTTGGCAAATGAATATGCTAAGAACTTGAGACATGCTAATTAAAAGTACTGTCTCGAAGTTTTATTTTAAACTTTCCTTTTTAATTTGGCTGGAATCCCAAACATCCATATCCACTCATGGAAGATTCCTTCCAAAATCTGACACGAGAAAATTTTATATATTTTATATATGGTGTTAGCGTTGGAATTATAAAGTAGGCGATATATTTTCTCTCTTATTTTAAAAGGTTGAAATTCAGATTAAATTTGATATTCATATTAACCAGAATATTTGTAATAAACAAGATTGTGAAATAAATGAAATATGACGTGCATCGTATGACAAAGCCCTTCAAATTTGCGATGTCATAGAAACCAAAAATTATTATGACCTTTTACTAGTCAGGATAGATTGTAAGTTTCCCTTTCTATAGGAATAATCGAAATTCGACGAATCAGTCAAAATTCGAGAAGTAAAGTACATAGATTCTGAACTTAAATATATGGTCTTAGCGTCTCTTGTTATTTTCCTTGTACGTGTTCAATATCAAAATTATACATTTCATGTACAAGGTGTAATAGTGGACCAATTAGTTAAGAATGACCCTTACTAGACCTCTAAATCCAAAAGGAACAGTGCACTACTAGACTGATTCACTGATACAGTACTACAGTAAATATAATAAAGCTATAGTAGTGTCGATATCAAATGTCAAACTAATCTACGTACCATTTCCAATTATACCAATAACTTTATCCTCATCTTTAACACATCTCACAAACTTGGTGCTTGTGTTATAAATAACCGTATTATAACCATCCTTCGAATTACACTCGCAACCTTCACGACTATCATTACAGTTCATGGTGCGTATATCTGTACGATTTACCATTTCACGATAGTTTTTACCATACCAGACCATATCGTGTTCACCGCGCGTAATTTTGAACGACGATGCACTCGATTGACTTTGAACGAGAAGCCATAGAGCTATCAAAACCATTCTATTTGTCAAATGGTATTTTAGCTTCATTTTAAATTTTCTATACTATAGTACAGAATAAGTGTTTGATAAAACCGATAAATATAGACTTTTAAAACGATTTTGACGACAAATGATCAGTGATGATGTCAATCAGCAGATAAATTATTAATCAAAAATATATTAGCACAACTCGCTCCAAAGCCACGGGACCGATTAGGAAACCACTGAACTGACTAGAATTTCGAATACACTTCGATTTTGCATTTGACTTATTTATATCAGTTCAAGTCACAAGGTTTTTTTATTCGATGCTTTCCTGTTTTTCGAACGATTCAACGTTGACTACATCCTTGAAACATCCGTTATAAATGTTTAACCGGGTTTGGTTTTGGGCACAGTCCAAAGACTCCGACGTAAATTTACCACAAACACAGCAGGTTACTTCCTCCTTTCATTTTTGGTTTGTGTCTCAATATCAATCTTGCATAATTATGTATTGCATCGTCGTATGATCCGTTTGGACGAACTTTGTTGGTCAGAGAAAGATAATTTATTGATATTTTTCTCTCATAATTCAGATTCATATTTCTGATTCTCGGCAATCCATGACAGCTTGTTCCATATTCAAATCGTATGGATTAGGCTACGTTGACACTATAGCGGATAGCTTTCCGTTGGGGCGCGAAAAAGCACCTATCCGATGAGTGTAGAACTTTTAGTATAGCTGAACATAGCAGCATCTCTCCGTTGCAATAATTCCTCTGAAAATAGCGTTCCTAAAAGGTGCGGATAGGTTTTTTTCACGTCGCTTACGAAAAGCTATCCTTAAATTCACTCTACATGTAATTCATATCATGAATCGACCGTCCTCGACGACGTTATATTTGCAAATTAAATTCGTGTGAATTACATTCGACGCATGAAACTTAGCCTAAATAAGGCATTGGACGAACAGGCCAAGAAATATATTAGGCATGAATTTCTTCCCAGACGTTTTGCCACTCGACCCACTCGGAACAAAATTAGGGTGCTAGGCTAGTGCCAGTATATGTCTTGCTATTTTAGGTAGTTTGTCCTTATCGTTCGTCTTTTGTTTATACTAAAGACAAATGGTCTGTCAGACGGATGGTTCATTTGTGATTTTGATAAAGTGACAAATAGGCATGTGATTAGCAAACCGAAAGCCGGCGAAAGGTATAAGGTATACCAGTATGCATAAAAGTGTTTCGGTTTATATATTTACAAGTTAATTATCGATTTGCATGGAAAATTCTTAATGAATTGTAGTGATATTGTTTGAATAATGAGTACACATGACGATTTCAACATTTTCTTTTCAAATGCAAAGCAGCTGCGTCATTCGATCAGCATTCTAAACATTCATCAGGAAGCAATTCACTTGCGATAGTAACTTCTAGTCGACTCTTTGGTGTCTCATCAGTATCTATCATGGTCAACCATGGTCCGTCAACTAGTTGCTACTGAGAGGGCACGGTTAGAGGGGGAACTTCATTTCATATGACCTTTACCGTCTGACCCTTATAAATGACATCATTTCCAGTTGGCAAGGAGTTCAAGTGTTCAAGTATCCGGACATCCCCCGAAACTAGTACTAGGGCCATCTATACGTGCGAAAATAAACCGCGGCTTAAATAAGCGCCGGCCAAAATAGGTCGCAATTGTTTCGTATGAGTCAAACTGTTCGCAAACCACGGCTTAAATATGCCCAGGGTTGAAAACTAGGCCTGAATAAGCCGCGGCTTATTGTAAACTAATTGTTTGTACTAACTTCATAACAAATTTCCACTCAAGTTCCAAAGATTCCTTCAACGTCAACGCTATCCCTCAATACCCATATAAATCCCCACTTTAGTTCTCAGTTCTCTTCTGGCACAATTTCGCGAAGGCGGGAATTTTGTTTTGCTAATTTGCACTTTAAAGAGCAAATTTGTGACAAGTTACTTCGCTTTTAGATCGTATTTACTTTTGTTACAGATGATATTTGTAACAAATAATTGTCACAGATGATATTTACTAGCTAAAGGCTTGAAAAAATCTATCAACGAACGAAATTTTCCTTGGAAAATGTCGACAAGAAGCAAACAAGAATCGAGTAAGCCAATGCATGTGCTCTCTGAAAGCATGTCATTCACGTCATTGTCACGTTATGTGAATGCTTCATTTCTGTTCATTCAAGTAAGTATTAATAGAAGATATAGTTATATGAGTTTTCTGTGTGTTTTGTGCAGTTTCTGTTATTCAATGTGTGATTAAATTGTTACTGAACTGAAGTATGTTCAAAATTAATTATCTGAAAATATAAAAATATTCGAAGTGACTATATGACCGGCAGCCGGTCACGGTTTATCAAATACTAAATGGCCGGCAGTATAGTGACTATCATTAAAGTTGAAGATAAACCGATCCCAACCCCAAACCCTTCTCTAGTAACCCTAACCTTTTGAGAGTTAGAAAAGAAAAAATTGTAATGTAATAAAAATTCCATGGTAATGCTAAGTCAGACAAAACACATCCCAACCCGGACTGCAGTTTGACTTTTCGCACACAGCAACATTGCTGAATACACTAATGACAAGCTCGGTAAAAGCTAGTGCAAACAAAAGTTTTTATGTTTAACTATAGTTACTATACTGCCGGCCATTTAGTATTTGATAAACTGTGATCGGCTACCGGTCATATAGTCACTTTCAAAAATATTTGACATACTAGTGGTATTTCAAACAAATACTGATGTGCTTTGCTGCCCATGTTTTGCTCTGAATACGGCTGTATTCGCAGGCTAATATTTGGTATGCTATCTGATATATTCACACCCATGCATGCACCCTAAATAAGCTAATTTTCACAATTATCCCTTTATATGGCAATGTGCCCTTTAAAGGACAATGCTATAATCTTGTTTGATATTTAAATTATATTCTGAAGTTTTGTATATACATGAGTATTTGTTTTGCAACAGGTCACTAACATAATTGGTAATGCTGTGTTAATGTTCCTGAAACGTTTTCCTGTTTGTGTATGTTTATATTTGTGTTGACAGCTGTAATTAACCCATTGAGTCGCATTGCACCCTGATGCACCCTACTTTAGTATTTTACTCTGTCTAACGCCAGACGATTTTACTCGTCAAGGGGAGAGCGCTGGCGCTTAATGGGTTAACTGGCCTATCTGCCCTTGTGTCTAGTTAACCTATTGAGTCGCATTGTACCCTAATGCACCCTACTTTAGTATTTTACTCTGTGTAATGCCAGACGATTTTACTCGTCAAGAGGAGAGCGCTGGCGCTTAATGGGTTAATAGAATGATGTATAAATTGACTCCATGCATTTGTTAAATAATAGATTCACAAACCCTTCATGTTTTTTTTAATATAGACCAGCTCAACGTCTAAGCGGTTTAATTTTCGTTGCACCGTCATTCGCTTTTCTTCAAGTTCCTACGAGGAAACAATTGGGATAATTACTAGGCCATATATACAATCTTAATTAAAATACACTCCTACACTGCAAAACAAACGCTAGCCTATTATTACGGCATGTTCAAATGAGCTGAGCTGGCCCGGTAAACCGGAATGACTCGCAAGTGGCGAGATCTTGCTTGGTCTATTGTTTTCATATGTTTTTGAGATTTGATTCACATGAGAATCGGGCTGGCCCGGTTTGCCGGGCTCCCGTTTGAGCGAGACGAGATCTCACGTACCTTCCCGGGCTCATATCATTGGCTCACATGCATGAACACACTTAGCGGGCCAGCCCGGCAAACCGGGCGGGAAATTGTGTCACAGTGCATGCTTGATTCCATCTAGAAAGCGTCTAAGAATTCAAAACAAGTAAGAAATCAACAGTATTAAAACTTCTGAAGCAATTTCCGTCAATAAAAATTAAAACAAATATCGCGTTTTCAAAATTAAAACAAATATCGCGTTCCCTCCAAAAATCGCGCGGGAACTTCTACATAGCGCTTTGGCGGACAACTTGACCCGGCAAAGCGAGCTAGCCCGGTTTAACGGGCCAGCCCGGCTCATATAATATGAACAGACCCTTAGTATACTTATCATTTATAGACCCTCCCCTCGGCAAAATATTGCCCGTAGTGATGATATTTCCCGAGGGGCTGGGGTAATATTCGATTCAGTGGTAACATTTCGCCGAATGCCCCAAAGGAAGGTCCGCAAATGATATATTATACCAAAAGTTAAACAACCCACTAAATTCAGAATAAAGTTGTTAAATATAATTAAGCGAATGCAATGTTTAATTTTTTATTTATATATACCTGAGTTTTTGACGTCCATTGAAGATAAGTTTACGCGTTCCAAACTACTTTGCACTTCCAAAATAATATTTTTTTCGACAAAAACAACCTTATTTGCAACATGTTGCTGACACCAAAAACTTTTCGTTCAAATCATCCCAATTTTGCAGATAAAAATACCGCCTCCGTAAAAAATAGTAATATCTGCAATACATACATGCGACAATATCTTACGATTTCAAAAACACCTTGGATAAGTAACGAAATTTGCCACATTCCATTGGGTAGGAAATATATAATAGTACCATACAATGTGTTCTATATAGTTTAGATACTCTTAAGCAGCCGAGACCAGACACTGCAGAAACTAGACGTCCAAAGTATCAGAAATTCTGATACCTTCAAATGTGGCTAAATCACAAATACACTGCAAACGGCAGAGACCAGACGTCCCGAAAGTATCAGAAATTCTGATACTTTTCAAATGCTTCTAAATCACGAATACACTGAAAACTGCAGAGACCGCAGATGTCCGAAAGTATCAGAAATTCTGATTCTTTCAAATGCTTCTAAATCACAAGTACACTGAAAACTGCAGAGACGCGACGTCCCGAAAGTATCAGAAATTCTGATACTTTCAAATGCTAGTCTAAATCACAAGTACACTGAAAACTGCAGAGACCAGACGTCCAAAGTATCAGAAATTCTGATACTTGCAAATGTTGCGGCTAAATCACAAGTACAATGAAAACTGCAGAGACGCGACGTCCCGCCGGAAAGTATCAGAAATTCTGATACTTTCAAATGCGGCTAAATCACAAATACACTGAAAACTGCAGAGGACAGACGTATCAGAAATTCTTTCAAATAACACGAAATATTATATACAGGTATATTCGATTGAAGGTTTTTTTTTTAAATAATACTTTCAAAAATCCTTAATTTTCTCCGGCAAAATTCCACAATCGTCTATAGGCGTTTTTGCCAAGAGTCGCATGTACCGTAATTTTACGGTTTAGCGAGATCCTTTAAACATGCGCAAATTTTGCCAAACATGTGTAACAACGTAATAGATTTTCACGCCAATGGCAATATATGTTGGCATGAATATTATAATCAAACCAAGTTCTGCACATAAAAGTTAAATACTTCTGGTTTTAAATACATATTGAGGTTGCAAAAGTGTAGATGCTAGATACATATAGTATATCACAGAAAACTGCAGTGTCTACATAAAATTAAACAATATTCAAACACCGTTGTTGCCTGCGTAGCTGCATGCATTCAGTAGAACTAAATATTAATTAGATTCTATTTCATGCGCATCGTTTCTTCAAAGCTTAATTTAAGCCAGTTCAAAATGTTGCAACAAACAGTCCATTTGTTTGGTTTGTTTGGGGTGAACGTGTTCGCTATAGAAAAAGATTAATATGAATAATAAACCACTGCATAATATTAAAGCTGTAGTGGCCAAAAATATATGGGCCTGGTTTTAGTAGTAGCTTAAGACTTGACTTTGTGATATCATGCAGTTTTATAACTTCGTAAGCGAAAGCTAGTTAAGTGTATCTGATATGGCAAATGGATATTTAATAAAACGATAAAGATAGGCAATTTTGAATTGCCTTTCCGCTTTCCGATTCATCAATCAATACAACATAATTCCATGTAAGCATTCATGCACCTTATGCATTCACATCACTTCTAAGATCTTTCGATATTCAACACTCGAATTCTCGAATACCACGTAGCGACCTTTGATAGAGAGTCAGGATGGGTTTATCCTTTTCTCTGCAGTTCATAGTATATTTCTGAATATGGTATTTAGCGTTTGAATAATTGCGCGTCTGTGCGCAGGATAATTTGACAACAATCAATCACCGCATGAAAGCGTTTAACCATGTTGTGCGCCAATCAAATCACTGCGTGTATTGGCGGCGCCAAGAATCAAATTTCGTTACAACCGTTGGACTTTGAATCTTGTATAATAATTTTCCTTGTGCGCCTCATGATTTGGAAGCTTTCAAAGGTCTATAAACGTTATTAATACAAATATGAGAAGATATCATTGAATGTTGTCAACTTGAATCTGCTTCAAATATAAAATGTTTTGTACGCCAGGTTTTCTACAAAACCATAACAGGCCGACGGTTTGGTGTTGCAAGTATTTATCCCTACATTCCAGTTTGTCGACATCAAATGGAACAATATACGGTATGTCGATTTTAACATCATTTTTGCATTATTTATACCATTATGCGTACCCACATAGCATTATTATCTACATGTATATGCTTATATAATTATAGAAAATAATCACATGGATGCGCGGAAATACCAGATTTGTTTCTTGTTTCGAGTGTTGAACATGATATCTCAAGAGTAAGCGCAGCAAACGAGAAGCCTGTATTTGACCAAAAACGGCAGCTTCAAAAGAACAGTAATAATAATTATATAACTTGATGGCAGTGACCACTTTAGGCAACACTGAAGAATTTACCGCGCGATACCAATCATTCGTTCGTTTTTACAATAAAAGCATGACTTGACTCCACAACAGTAATCACCATAAAAAACTGATGCTATAATACAGTATATAGCGCAGTCACGTTTGATCAAATGTGAAGTCTACACATGGATCCTATTGCTGCTTGATAAAGATATATAGAATAAAAATAATAAATAAATGTAATAAACAATAATAATAAAATTAATAACTTTAAAGTAATAAATTTACGTGATAAATTTAATAAATTTACAGAATAATGTTAATACATTTACTGCAGTAATAAATTTACGTGGTGTTTCCACGAAAAATAGTATTATATGTTTTATCGTCCTGGTAACCTACAAAGAACTCACATTCCAACAGTCTGCATTTACAGTCTAAATCATTCTGACCATTTTTTATTTTAGTTTGAATAGCTTTGACTGAATAAAAAGTGCCTTAAATATAGACAGCTTGCAAAGGCAATGTTGGCTATTAGCGAAGCTCGGAACCAATGTTTGAAGTCTGAAGTCCGAAGTCTGAAGTCCCTTCACGGCTTCCGTAGAAAATGTATTCTTTTGTATAATCATAATTTGCCTGCGTGCAAAATCTAAACAAGGCAAGGACTGACAAGGTTCTATACTCTATAGTGACCATACGGTAAAATCATACGATATAGCTATGCAGTATATGGCTTGCCTTATTCTGTTAGATAACTGTATATGTTATACATTTTATACTTTGTCTTTTGAGTTTTTATATTTTAGCCGACAGGTTTACACTTGCACAATATATTAATTGTGTGCGATGCTGCTTGTTTTTACCGCATTTATTTTTAAATTTTTGAATAAATTAGCTTACATGTCAATCAACCCGTTATCAACGTAAATTCAGCCAATAACAATTCTCGGTAGCTAGCTTCCGAGAGTGAGCAATTTTACTAGGGCTTTCGGGCAGGCTCTTCTTCAATTCTCAGCCCTATGGAAGAGCCAGCCACACTGGCTACTCTAAAACGTGCAAGCTCAACTTCACATCAACTTCACATCAAAAACAGTACGTAAAAGTACGTTATAAAGTTTGATTAGAAACCTTCTAAATGAGGCGAGATTACTAAAACTACTACTCGGTGCAACTGTACATATAGAGTTCTACATCCAAACAATGCGATTAAAATATGAGGCTTTAAAAGTACTTGTTTTACAAAGTGGAGTTCAAGTGGCTTTCCCTCCTGCTTCTGATCTATTGTATTGTGCTTCTCGATTTCAATTATTCTCTCATTTTGCGAGAGAACTATGTTTACCACACATTTTCATACCCTTTATACTTTACCTTTTATCCCCTTTACTTTCGATATTACTAAAATTATGACTATATATGTCAATCGCCAAAATGGTTTCTTTGTCCAATTTTATACGATAGTTGTAAGTCCAAGTATGTTTAGCATGCACTGACAGCAGATTTATCTTGCTCGGCTTTCTCGCAATTCATCCTATGTTTCTTAATTAAGACCGGTATTGAGAGATTTAGACCAGGTTCACCAATGTAAACCGGACCACATTCACAAAGAATGGGGTACACACCAGGTTTCTAAGATTCATTCACGTTGCCATTATGTGTGTAAAGATTAAAGATCTAGAAACAATTTGTTTTCACTGATACTTTGGCCTACCAGTCTCTACCATTTTAAGTATATTTCATATAGACAGAAAGGATTTCAAAAGTATCGAAATTTCTGATACTTTCGACTACCAGTTTCTACAGTTTTAAGTATATTTCACGTATAGGGGATTTGAAAAGTATCAGAATTTCTGATATACTTTGGGCTATCAGTTTCTGCCATTTTAATTTTTTTGACATACAGGGGATTTCAAAAGTATCAGAATTTCTGATACCTTGGAGTTTGGACTACCAGTTTCTGCAGTTTTATGTATATTTCATGTATACGGGATTGGAAAAGTATCAGAATTTCTGATACTTTGGACTACCAGTCTATAATTTTAAGTAAATTTGAGATAGAGAGGATTTCAAAAGTATCAGAATTTCTGATACCTTGGAGTTTGGACTACCAGTTTCTGCAGTTTTATGCATATTTCATGTATACGGGATTGGAAAAGTATCAGAATTTCTAATACTTTGGACTACCAGTCTATAATTTTAAGTAAATTTGAGATAGAAAGGATTTTAAAAGTATCAGAATTTCTGATACTTTGGACTACGAGTCTGCAATTTTAAGTATATTTGAGATAGAGAGGATTTCAAAAGTATCAGAATTTCTGATACTTTGGACTACGAGTTTCTGCAGTTTTAAGTATATTTCACGTGTATAGGGGATTTGAAAAGTATCAGAATTTCTGATACTTTGGGCTATCAGTCTCTGCAGTTTTAAATATATTTGACATACTGGGGATGCGGATTTCAAAAGTATCAGAATTCGGATACTTTAGACTACCTATCTCTACAGTTTTAAGTATATTTGAGATAGAGAGGATTTCAAAAATATCAGAATTTGTGATACCTTGGAGTTTGGACTACCAGTTTCTGCAGTTTTATGTATATTTCACATACACGGGATTGGAAAAGTATCAGAATTTCTGATACTTTTTGACTACAGGTCTGCAATTTTAAGTATATTTCAAATACAGAGAATTTCAAAAGTATCAGAATGTCTGATACTTTGGACTACCGATCTGCAATTTTAAGTCTATTTCAGATTTCAAACGTATCAGAATTTCTAATACTTTGGACTACGAGTTTCTGCAGTTTAAGTATATTTCAGATATATAAGGGATTTGAAAAGTATCAGAATTTCTGATACTTTGGACTACCAGTCTGCAGTTTTAAGTATTTTTGAGATACAGAGAATTCCAAAAGTATCAGAATTTCTGATACTTTGGACTACGAGTTTCTGCAGTTTTAAGTATAGTTTCAGATATAAGGGATTTGAAAAGTATCAGAAGTTCTGATACTTTGGATTACCAGTCTGCAATTTTAAGTATATTTGAGATAGAGAGGATTTCCAAAGTATCAGAATTTCTGATACTTTGGACGCGACTACCGGTCTGCAATTTAAGTATATTTGACATACAGTACAGAGAATTTCAAAAGTATCAGAATTTCTGATACTTTGGACTACAAGTTTCTGCAGTTTTAAGTATATTTCACATATAAGAGATTTGAAAAGTATCAGAATTTCTGATACTTCGGACTACCAGTCTGCAGTTTTAAGTATATTTGAGATACAGACGATTTCAAAAGTATCAGAATTTCGGATATACTGGACTACCAGTCTGCAGTTTTAACTTTTAAATATATTCGAGATATACAGGGTGTCAAAAATCGTAGGTATATTTCGGAAATTGCATATTTTCATTGGCGCATCTCACTGTCTTTAAAATTTTATGCTGCTTAATAAGGTGCATCTATATTTTCGCATTTCAGTCCAAGATAATGTATTGTAACTTGCTTATTCGCAATTCTTGGTAGTCCGTATCCTCTATTTTTGCAGAAAAAAATTCGTGGTCAGCAAGATTTCTGAAAATGATTGTTTATGTTGACGAGTTTTTCTATGGAAACAGTGCTTTTTTTCTCAAATATCAATTTTTTCTACTTATTTTACGGATAGTATAAAGCCATTCAAACATTTTTAAAACGTTTCCTTGTATTTTGAGGAAAATTAGCACAAAATCCGAAAAATGAGAGGAAAATAGCCAAAAAAATGAATTTTGGAAAATGCAAAGATAGTTTGGAACGCGTTTAACTGTTAACATAATATTTACTAATTACGTGAAAATCTTCAAGTTCTCGAGGTTTTGTTTATTTGTTCCTATGTTTTGTTCCGCCATATGCTCTCATTATGCTAAGCGTAAACAGATCGACAGATCTGCCGTGGCATATTACAGTATCTCACGACGCTGTATTGCGTAATCATAGAATTGCGTAGAATACCGTAAAAATCACAGCCTCACATGTTACAAAGGCTGTTTATTAATTGGACACTTTGAATTTGAAGTATATTTTGTGCAACCTTGTTGCGAATTGTTGGTAGTACAGGGACGGAATTTATATATACACCTCTATATCAAACAGTAATATTGATTATTAATATAATTATAGTGATCAAACTCTTGTTTCTCCTAAACTCTACGCTTGTTTCATAACTCGATGGAAGCAGGGAAATATTTATATGTTTTTTTTTAATGCGTGCGTTTAATTGAACAAAAAATAATGCCGATAATACAACACGGAAAATGCTTACCTCTAACAAACTAGTGTTGCAGTTGTCCATATTTTGTTGGTCGAGGCTACCCATTAAACCAGTAAGATATTTGTGTTGTTGAACACACTTTACTCTCTGAGAAATCTAACAGATTTGTAAAAATATCAATTACTGCTTTCAGTAAAGTTGTGAAAATATGAAATGTTGTTGTCCTTTATAAATAGTTGACAATGTTTTGAGTGGACGTTTCATATAAATTTAATATACTTCGTTATAAGAAAAATTAATCCAGTTCGAGGACAAATTCTATAATACTTGTAATGTTACTCTGAGTGTATATCCACACCGGGTAAGCTTGAAAAATATGCCTGGCCACGGTGGAAATCGAACCTACGACCTTTGAAATACTAGCCCAATGCTCTGCCAACTGAACTACGCGGTCAAGTCGGTTCGAGTAAGTGATATTTCGGAACAGAATCTAGTTCCTTCCGACCTGACCGCGTAGCTCAGTTAGCAGAGCATTGGGCTAGTATTCCAAAGGTCGTAGGTTCGATTCCCACCGTGGCCGCGCATATTTTTCAAGATTACCCGGTGTGGATATACACTCAGAGTAACATCACAAGCATCATATTCACCTGAGTACATCACATCAACACAGAAAAAAATCAAAATTCTATAATGATTGGCATGCAGTTAAAATGAAAAATGTAGTTAAAAATCCTACACAAAAATCTAAACCTAGAATTTGATGTCTTTCAAGGCCTCATCACTATTATACAGTAAGAGAATCTACCTTTGCATCTCTCTCACGCTTTGTTTCCTCCAGGGTACTTTTGTATCTTCTGTCCATTCGCAAAGGAAACAACCTGCGATCCACCGTAGCCTTCCCAGCAAAACCAATCAGGTTTGGACATTGCTTTACAGTAACGTCCCTTCGTTTTCTCTTGTGTTTCATTTTCAAGACATTCTAGGAATTAGGCATAAAGCTACGATTAAGGGTTTGCAATGACTCCGATTGGTACAAACATGCAAATTATCAGTTATTGTTATTGTATTTTAATTTCACATCCCTTAAAAGGCTTTTCAGCGAAATTTTACATAATTGATCTAAATTTTTATACACCATAATAATAGAGACACACACATAACAACACACAGTCACACACAACACACACACACACACACACACACACACACACACACTTGGTATTACTACACAAATATATATGCTATTTACATCAAAATGTCTTAAGATTGGTCCTCAATTTAAATGTTTCTACAAGTCTCTGTTTTAAAATATGTTTGAAGTATTTCGTTGTTTCGCAGGCCCTAAGTTCTGGTTTTAAGGAATTCCAAATTGTGGCCATTCTGAATTTGAAGGATCGTTGCCCAGTTGCTGTTCTGTGTAAAGGAGTTTCAATCATGCTCGAGTTCCTAGTAACGCGAGATGAAATGTCACCTCGTCTCACAAACTGTTCAGTTAGGTATGCAGGTGCGTTTCCTGTCATGCATTTAAATGCCATGACTGCATCACGAAAATATAAATACTGTCGAACTGGAAGCCACTTTAGTTCTTGCAGGATTGGTGTGACATGATCGTATTTGCCAACTCCACTAACTATTCGACATGCAAAGTTCTGCACTACCTGTACCTTATTTAAATTTGTTTGAGAAGTGTTGCTCCAGACTGTAGAGCAATAATATAATTTTGAAAAAACTAGAGAGTTAATAATAATTGTTAATGTGTGTTTGTCAAAGCAATGTTTCACGCGGTTTATTTGACCTAAACGAGACATACATGAGGAGATAGTGGCTTGTACATGGCTGTCGAACGTCATACCAGAGTCCAAGATTACGCCGAGATCTTTGGCGCTTGTTACAGGAATGATTTCTTTACCGAGAAGTGAGAGGCGAAAATTAGGAAGTTTTGCTCTCATCTGTCTACTACCGCATATCATGGCCTTAGTTTTTTCTGGGTTTAACAGTAACTTGTTATCAAAACACCAATTACGTATTCTCAAGAGATCTTGATTTATTTCTGAGACAGCTCTTTGTTGGTGTTGCAGAGAAAACGACATTAAAAGTTTTGTGTCATCGACATAGGAATAGGGAGAGCATTGTTGTGGAACTGATGGCAAATCGTTCACATAAATACTAAACAGAAGTGGCCCAAGTATACTTCCCTGAGGTACTCCACTCTTTACCTCTAAAGGCTCGGATAAGGTTGTTTGTATTCTTACTACTTGATACCTGGATGTTAGGTAGCTTTGGAACCATTGTATCGCCTGACAAGACGCGCCAACATCTTCTAACTTGGTAATCAGAGTCGTGGTATCTATGCTATCGAATGCTTTGCTCATGTCGAGTAACACAATCGCAGTTAGCTGTTTCTTGTCAATGGCATTCAAGATCATGTCTGTAGTCTGAATTACCGAGGTTTCTGTTGAGTGTAGATGCTTGTTTCCACTTTGTTTAGACGATAAACGATCATTCGAGAGAAGGTAGGTCGAAAACTGATTATAAGCTGCTCGTTCGCAGATTTTTGATAGCACTGGCAATAACGATATAGGTCTATTATTATTTACGATCTCATGATCACCACTCTTGTGGATAGGAACAACTTCAGCGTTTTTCCATACGCTCGGAAAACTAGAGGTTAACAGTGAAGCATTGATAATTGAAGTGATGGTAGGTGAAATTACAGTCAAGCAAGTTTTGATTACATGTATCGGAACTTTATCGTTCCCAGGAGCTTTGTTTGGTGCCATAGACATAACAATAGATTCAACTTCTTCGCGTTCAACAGCGGTAAAGGAAAATTGTTCAGATGGTAAATAATGTCTTGGTTTAAAAGGGTTTTCATTTAGGTCATAATTTTCATCAGCGGCCATTTTTCCAATTTTTTTAACCGTATTTTGACCAATACTGGCAAAGAATTCATTAAATTCATCAGCAACAGTTTTATGATCCTTACTATAGACTTTATGAGTGGCTGATTTTTTCGGTATACACGATCGTATAGATTTCCATATGGAGTTGGTGTTGTTTCTGTTACTTTTAATCTGTTCTCTTACATATTCTCTCTCCGAAAATCTTATACGTCGCTTTACTTCTCGCCTGAAATTTTTAAAGGCCGACCATGCAAAAGGGTCGTTTGTTTTCCTTGCCGTTTTCTTCCACTCATCCCTGGTTTTCATGAGTTCTCTGATTTCTTCTGTTACGCAACAATTCGGTTTTCCTTTAAGTTTTATAGTTTTCACTGGGGCATGTTTATCTAGAATATCATTAAACAAAGAGTTGAAAGCATACAATTTATCTTCGGCATCATCGAAAACGTCTGTGATAGACCATGGTGCTTGTAGTATATCAGCGCAAAATTCACTCGCGTTGTAGCTTTTGAAGCTCCTTGTTGTGATATGTACTGGCTTAGGGCGCTCTTTCTTCAATCTTAGGACTGCGTAAACTAGATCATGGTCGCTTATGGAGCAATGCAACACCTTAGTTTCAAGAACTTGGTTGGGGTTTGTTGCTAGAATAACATCTATTAACGACTCTGAGTTTGGAGTTACACGGGTTGGAGATTTAATCATCTGAGTCAGGTTAAAACAACTGCAGAAGTTAATAAATACAGACGAATTCTGGCTGTCCGGTTTAAGCATGTTACAATTTGCGTCACCAAGGATGTAGATAGGTTTACCCAATAAGGAGGCTGTAATGAAATTCGGAGTCAGGTCAGTATCAAAACAGTTTGCATGAACATCAGGGGGTTTATATATAGTGCAGTGGATATCATATCTGGCCAGATATTGAGATTTTAATTCATTTTCTGTTACATGGCCACCCAATACTGGGTATTATTTACATAAGGTTCAGGCCTTCAAGATTTACAGTTATTGCAGGTTAGATGATTTGATTAGGTTAGATGATTTGATTAGGCTAAAAAAGCAGCCCTGGGTGGTTATCATATTTTTATTCAATGATTGATAACAGGAATGCTTGTAAACACTATTTTCAAGATTTTATATGCTTGTTTGTAAATGCAGATTTGACCATTGAACTAATGCAAGTGAGGCTTTGGCTACCAATGATGCATGTTTACTAGTGCTAGACTGTGAAGTTCTTTCCTATTATTTCAAATCAAAATTTTATAAACACCATCACTTTTTAACCAATTAAAATGATTACTTAAATTAACCTTAAATGAGGCCTGAACCTTATATACTTGAATAATACCCTGAATCTGGCTCCAGGGATATTTTTCAACTATCCAACATATCCTCAACTATCCAACATATCTGCCTGGAGGGCGAAAAGACTGTACCCTGCACACCCCTACAAAGAACTTAAAGTATGTAACATAAGAAGAAATTGCTCCTTAGGTGTTAATAGGTGAAATATGGGCAAGTAGTCCACAGTC